TATCAAATCCAGAGCTCACTGGTACTGTTTATTTCCTACTTAAGCATTTTTCTTGAGAAGCTTACATCAACACAGGTTAGATAAACCTCTGATGTGGTAGTTTTCAATTGTCTGAGATTTGCTGACCCTACTATTTTCCACTGTAGATGCAGACCTTCACACCTCCAGAAAAGTTATGGTTATTGGCAATGAACTTGCTTTTCTTAGCTACCTTTCATGGGCTTCTTAGTAATAGCCTGTGCATCTGTATAAGACCGAGGAATGCCAGAGCTATAAAAAAAAAAGCTGAGCCATAAATTATTGAGCTGGATGTATGGAGTATGTTATACAATATGTCAGATGAGAAGACCGCAGTATTTCCCAGCAGCCTTGGTGTCATGAATCTGTTGAAATAATTCCCAAGTGCTTTTGAGCCTGACATAATATTACCTGTTCATGACCACTTTCTTTCTACAGAAACTATTGAACTGTATTACTAATGCAACAAGCACCACTGCATCTCAGAACCAGAATGCCGCTATGGTATGACAATTTGTTATGACTTGTTGGTGATATATCACAACAATGACCTGAAGACAGTGACCTTGAAGACAGTGTTATGATACCAGGCTGCAACATCCAGCCACAATAAATCTGTAGGTCCCTTGTGAAACAGTAAGTTTTCTTCAGGGAAGGACTTCTAGTAGCCAGAAATGTTGAGGCTGCTTGTCAAAGCATTTATCTTATGAGCAGTGAAAGAAGTTAAATGCATTACAATGTGATAATAATATAAATTTAAATATGAAATTTGTAAAATGGAGAATGAATAGAGCACTTACATTCTGTGCACTTACTCTTCTCATTACTACTCTTGAGCATGTTTGTGTCTGAATATAAACATTTTCTCTCAACCCAGTTGCAAACACAGCTTCTTCTCAGATCATGTACTACAGTTATGGCACAGTGCTGTGCTTTTATACCTCTGCTGTACGGATTCAGATGACATAATTTCAGATGGGCTTGTCTTTTCACTCAAAATCAAGTAAGAAGGAAAAGAAGAGTATAAAGGAGTGCTTTGTTTCACAGAAATGTCCTATGAGTATGAGATTAATATAAATTGTAAAGAAAAGCTGTTAAAACTATTCCAATCTGATTGAACATATATTGCTAGTTTCCTACCTAAAGAATGAAGAACATTAATGTTATCATTGCATATCCTTACAGATTTTTTTTTAAGATTATCAGAATCACAAGTGTTAATGTTTAAATTAAAACACAGAGCACTGTGGTAACATGTGCATCTGATCAATGACAACGTAACGTGGCACGTAACTGCTTTTTTTCTTCACATAAGTTCAGCATTACTGCTGAAGAGAGCTGTCTGCATGAAGGCCTTAGATGCTGAAAATGTCTCCTGTATTTCTGCCACATGTGAAATCTCCATTTTCTAAACTATAAAAAATAATCTTTCCTTTCCTTCTCACACTGCATAATTTCTTTCTCTACCTGCTAGTAATTCTTTCATTGTGTTATTTAAGACAGTGTTTTCAGATATAATTTGTATGATACATGAATCAAATTCATATTGTATGTTTTGTACTGTGTACAAGATGTAACTAGGCCCTACTGGACTATGAATATGACAAAATTGCATTGGGTTGGAAACCATGAAGACAGTCCAATTCGGGACTGTTTTTACCTTTCCTTGGAGGCAGGATTGAATTACAGCCAAAATCAGTGATCTTCACTACCATACGATTGTCTACTACACAGTTTGTGGATTTGAGTCGTCCATGGACTTCAGTCTTGCTTGAGTGCAGGTAAGACATCCCCTGTGGTTGATAAAAAAAAAGAGGAAGAAAGGAAGACTATGTGTGAGATACTCAGCTGTTACCAGACTCAACAAGAGTGTGAAGCATTAGTGTAATATCTGTCCAAGTAATTAAATGTCCTTCATCAGCAATGGATACGCAGTTTCATGTGGCTGATGCAGTTTCAGTTCTATTTCCTGAGATTCAGACTCTTGGCTCACAACACACATAGACATACAAAAGTGCATAGTTTGTCCTTGTTTACTCATCACCTCTGAATTTACCTCGTTTAGCCTAAGACATCTGAACACCATGCCATACATGAGAAGGGGCCAGCACTGAGGCACGGCAGGAAAAGAACATTAGTAAGTGGGCGTAAACTGAAGAAGGGAGTAGGTATGCTAATTTGCACCCTCTTGCTATTATTTATTCTGTTTCATCTCTCTCTTCTGAACTACTTAAGTTCACACGTACTTAGAGTCTTCTGCTGGTTGTTTTTCTCCTTTCTGTAGCTCAGTATATGAAGTACAGTCTATATTCTGATATACCAAAACAGGTATATCACATCTGTTTAGTTTCTTCTCTGAATGGTCTTTCACTTAGATTCTGACATGTATAGCACATCCTCTTGTATGAAAACTGGTAGAGAGACTTTAATCAGGGTTTTGTAGCTCATGGTCTTGAATATACTGTATGCCATGCTAGGTTTGCTCTCTTTTGGTGCCTGTATTTGGGAACAGACCAGCAAATGCTACAAGAGATCACTAAGATATAAGCTGAGTTTTGGGCACAGTAGATGTATGTCTGAGACACAAGCAGCCTGCAAGAGATGCAATCCCTGGAGAATGTTGTTGGACTGGTTATCCTGGACCTATCCAGACCATGCCAAAATTCACAGAGACTGTGTGCTCGTTATATCCAAGGAACACATTTCTTGATTAAGCAGCTTTTATCATGCAGCCCTGATGACACTATCCAGGATGTTTTGCATGCTTTTGGTCCTATTTCCTCCAGCTGTGCCTTCTTCCAGCACCTGCTTTCATCAGCCGGGAAATATACCCATTGCTACAGCAGAATTCCTAATCAGTTTCAATATCAAATGGCAGGCAAGGGTAATTTTTATTTCCTTATACCAGGGCTTCCTTGTTAACAGTTGCTGGAGGGAGAAGTCTTCTAGATGTACCTGATAAAATTTTCCTCTTTCCTTCCAGCTATCCTATGTACCTACCTGAAAACACAGAACCTGTTAAGAACCCACGATGTGATTTGCAAAATTTATAACGACTTTCCATGCAGTACTCCTAAATTCTTAAGGCATTCTTGTAATCTCTGCTCTGAAGCTTTAGTTCTGACTGAGAACCCTTTCTCTGACACAGTGCAAGAACAGTACAATCCCTTGCACAATATCCTGCAGCAGCCCATTATTTAATAAATAGTGTTGCAAAGACAGTGTATGCACTAGTAACTGCAAGGCTTGATGACTGCAATTCCTTCTTAGCAGACCTTTCAACAGAGCTCTCTGGTCACATGTAACCAAACCCATGTAGCTACAGGTGATGCCATCAGACCTAGAGACAATATAGATGGAAAAGAAAAAGGAAGAAAGGGACTAGTGAACATGGGGATTCTCTAGGAATAGTTGCTGCTTGGCTAGCTGTACCAGGGAGTAGAAATGATACAACCTCTCCTGTTCAGAAACACTGATGCAGCAGTTTCTCTGCCAGATGAAGAGCAGGCCAAGTACAAGGACTCTTTGGGCAACAGTAAAAGCAGGGTGTAGGAAAGTGGTGGTGTGGAGAGGGAGGAGCATGTCAAAAGGAAGGCAAAGGAGCTGAGGAGCTGGTCATAGGGATTTTAATAGCCTGGATAGTTGAGGCTGGGCTTGAAAAGGGCAGATGCTGGGATGAGAGTTGAAGGGCTATGAAGTGACTTAGGTAAAGCAAGAAGCCATTCAGGTAAAAATAGATGGGGTGCCTGGAGGTTGGGAATCTGTGGTTTGGGAAAAGCCATGCAAGAAGTTCATGGAAATGTCTAGGTCCCAGAGGCTTCACCACAGCATCAGGTCAAGAAATAGGAGAGGCTGGCAAATCAGAGCACTGGAACAGACTGCCCAGAGAGGTTATGGAGTCTTCTTCTTTGGAGACATTCAAAACCCACCTGAATGCGTTCCTGTGTGACCTAGTTGAGGTGATTCTGCTCTGGTAGGGGGTTGTACTAGATGATCTTTCAAGGTCCCTTCCAACTCCTAACATTCTGTGATTCTGTGATCATCTAAATGACAGCAATTTTCCTGATATTCCTAGGTGTATACAAGTTTTCAGGAAGATTTTGTGAACTGTCTCTACTAACAATGGCTAATAATGCTCAGGAATCATTCCACAGAACAGATGTGGAGCATCACCCATCCTCAGACTCCATGTCCCATCCCGATTACCAATGGTACAGGGAATGACTGGTTGTGAAGTCTCATACTCAGTGCAGTCACTGGGTACTTGGGTGCTCCCTTCAAACGCACTGGGATTTCTCTCTCCTTCTCGTAAACACAGCCAGGACTAATCCCTATTTTCTTAGGAAATAACTGAAGGCGAACTGCAAAGGGTTAAAAAAAATAATGGTTTTTGATATGTTATAAGGGAAACTCCACTTATTTTTAAAATGGAACCTAATACTGAATGTTAACTGAACTTGAAAGTCATTAACAAGGCCAACAAACTGTGACAATTTGGATTAAGGGGCTTTAATAAAGAGCAAGATTTTCAATATCTCTTTAGGACAGACACAGTGGAGTCATTCATTGTGGAGACCAAATCTGAACTGATGAATGTAGGGAA